ATGTGTAGCTATCATAATTATATTAACACTTATGACTTTTATCAATCAGGAAAAAAGTTTTCCTATACCAATAAATTTTTCGAGCAATTTTTTTCTCAGTTTTTTTGAAAATAAATACTCTTAATGTTAATCAATCCTGATAAATTTTATGTGAAATGTGGACATGGGTTAGTGTTATTATAATCCGAAGACAAAATCAAATTATCTCGATTCGTTTTTATGTTATGGCCATTATGGACATTTATTTCTGAACGCCTTCTTATGTATTATTATTATTCTAAAATTATTTAAAATAGTATATAAATAGATTCACCATAGATGAATAGTTTTAAATATATTGTTATTTGCATCAATATAATTCAAGACATTTTCTAAACATATTTAACATTATTATAAAACAAAACAAAAACAGATAGTTAAATGAAAAATATATACTTTAAAAGGGTAAAGTTCAATGTTAATGGGTGCTGGGCCCAAAAATTTTATATTTAAAAATTTTATTTTTTTTTAATTTGCGAAATTAATTATCATCGTAGACATAATTAAAATTTATATAACTGATGTTCAGTAATGACGTTATTCACTATAAAAAACGTACATAACTGATACTAAATTTTTTAATTTTTATATAACTTTTATCTCTTATGTCAGATTTGAGAAATTCCTTCGGATTTCAATTCTACTCTTCAATACCTTTCTATTGATATATAATATGATATACTTATTCATAAAATACAAGATTTGACATTCAAATTTTTCTCGATAAAAGTGGTCACTGCGGCCAAACCGGGGGTCGTCTGGCCAAATAAATTATACCACCGTTCGTCCTACAGAGTGTACTTTCGATTTATAACAATAATTCCCGATTGCACTCTGGGCCCAATTTGAACATTATCATTTAGATGAATAATTTAATGTTTTTCTTAAATTAATATATTATTTATACTTGAAAATGTCAACAAATTATAAATTAAATAGAATATAAAGTAAATTTAATTTTTATTATAACAAAATTCTTATTCAACATTTAATTTAATAATAATTAAAAGCAATTCAAATCATTCCACTGTTTGGGATAAGTTTTTCTCAACCAATCATTATTACTATTCTCGCATTCAGTGTCCGATATAATCACATTCAATTGATTTTGTTTGACAAACGGCTGAAATATTGTATTATTAACAAATTCTTAGCCATTGTCGGTAACGTATAGACTGACGGGTCTATTGATGGCATCGAAAGTAGTGCTCAAAAGTTTGGCGTAATTTAAATGATCGGCAATTAAGCGGATTTCCAGGGGATCTTTAATGGCGACATCACTAATAGGAAACGCTGTACTCGCGATCTCTTGTAGGGCTTCATTGCCCTTAATTTGAAGCGTTTTTAATTTAGGTAAATTTTTAAACGCGTCGTAGCCAATTGTTTTCAACGCCTTATTTTGCTCGATATAAATGTGTTGGAGATCATAGAATCCTTTAATACCATTCTCGGGCAGCGTGGTCAAATTAGTTTTTGTTAGCCTCAAATTGGCCAAGTTCGGTATGCTTTGAATTGCCTTGAACAAATCATAATCATAACCACTTTTGTCGCCTACGGGTGTATTAACAATGTCCAATCGTTTAATACGATACTGGCCATCGCCCTTGAAAGCATCTTGGTGAATTAGTTTTAAACTATGCGCATCTTCTATGATAATGGCGTCAAAGGCTATGTCGGCGTTAGGGTGACCAAATAATTTTGATCCGAAGAAGAATAAATGGTCAAAATTGAGATACATAAGAAAGACGCGGGAAGGACGATACAAAATCTACATTGATAGGTTACAGTATTTTCTTGATTTTTTTAAATAAAGTATTTCTAGATTAAATTAAACAAGTTAATTTTAAAATGCGAGCATTTTAACAATAAACTAATATTTTACAAACTATGGAAAAATAGCAATGAATTTAAGCCAGCTCGTTTTCTTACTGACGAGCAGACCTTACAAAGTCTCGGACGCGGATTCATTTCTAATGTGGAAATTCTGTTAGATGAGGTCATATAATGAAATTAGACACTAATATCTCGGGCTGATAGCCAGAAACGACAAAAATATGGCCATTTTAGTGATCGCGCCCATACAGCGTATAGCAATGCAGTACTGGTGATTAGCCCAAGCACTGTGTGAAACACCATTTTTTAATGCTATNGTACTGGTGATTAGCCCAAGCACTGTGTGAAACACCATTTTTTAATGCTATACGCCGTATACGCGGAATCACTAAAATGGCCATATCTCGCGAGTTTATGGCTATCAGCCCGAGATAAAAAATTTATATTTTTTATTTGGCCTAAACTACACAATTAGTGGCTTTTTATTAAGATTTGGTGACTTAAGTGAACAACTCTTGCTCGTGAGCATGGATGCTTTACTTCCGTAGGCTATTCAGCTTACATACCATTTGGTGCGGGAAAGCGGTCGTGTCCTGGTGAATTTATGGCTATAAATAGTTTATTTCTAATTATGGTAAAAATTATACAACATACTAATGATCATCCAATACGATTGGCCGACAAATATCAAGACCCCGATTGTGTAGAACCCGATCTTAACGTCAATGTTAGGATTTTACATCCCATTGAGTTTGAAATTGTTTTTAAAAAGTAATTTTTATAGAGACCACATTTGATTATAAAACAATATTATATATTTTATTTATATTAACTTATACATAAACACATTTACATTAGATGTTACTGTTAGTAATAAATTACTAATGCCATCATAATAATAAGAGAGAGAGAGAGAGAGCTCCATATAAAAAATAATAACTTGTGTAACACAAGTAGTGTTGTTAATTAATCAAATGATAATTAATTGTCAAAAATAGTTTTATAAACATTTGAATTGTAGTGTAAAAATGTTTTATTCATGAAATTGTCATCAGGCCAATATAAGTGAGGACAACAGTCGACCATATTAATTATAGTTTGCATATAAATCATTTCTATTAAAATTTAAGCGCATTTAAGCAACAATTAAAATCCGGATTATAACTTAAACGTGTTTATTATTGAACAATATGATAAACAAGGTTCACACAGCAATGCTATACGTTAACCACAATTCGGGAAATGCATCAAAGATTTTAAATTTTTTAATACGTTTGTTAGAGTACTTACACTATTGTTATATTGAGAATTTTAAATGTTTTTGACAACAATTAGTTTTATTTATTATGTCAGATTCATTTAGTATATTTTCTACATACATGACACATATATTTCTTTTGGTTATTTTAAAGTTAATAAATTGTTATTATAATTAAATCACTGAAATTAAGTGCATTGAATGTTTAAAAATTATTATACCCTAAAATCGTGCCTATTACCCGCAGTCGCGTATAACCCGCACCATCAAAAAGTGCAAATATTTTAAAATAAAAGGCAATTCACAGATAACCCGCACTTCACGTATAACCCGCAAAAATTTTATATTGTAAACCATGTTTGTTTTGACAATAAACGCGTGTTTTTGAAATATAAAGTTAATATTAACTTAACTTAATTTTTGTATTTAATCGTTTGAAAATTTTAAATATTTGTTATTAATTAAATTAGTTATTATGTTTAGAACAAGTTTAATGATTTGACAATTGATTCTGAATCTGAAGACATATCTGATGAAGAATCCAATATTATGACTAATCTTAACTCTCCTTTTGAATGTGATTCCGACTCTGATTTGAGTGATATGCTCTATAATATTATATTTATTCTTGAGTAAAATATTTTAATAAAATAACAATTTATCTGTTTAAGACATCAAATAGTATTTTGAAAATTTTGTATAAATGTGAAAATATGGCCAAAAATTACTGTAATTACATTGAAATATTTATTCTTGTATTTTTCAATGTACAGGGAAATTTATTTCCGTATTCTGTAAAAATTCTTGTATAATAAGAAGATTCCTGTATGTTTGGCACCGCTACACATAACCCGCATTTTGCAGATAACCCGCACTCGTTAATTTCCCAAAAATATCACTTTTTTCATCAGATAACCCGCGGGTAATAGGCACGATTTTAGGGTATTATTTTTAATTGCGTTTGTTATTTAAAATATTGATGTATTTTTAAATTTTAGAAAATTATTTGTATAAATTAAATAAATGTACTATTAATTATAATTTAAATGATTATCATGTTTTATTTTAGTAAAAATAAAATTTTCATTCTAAATGTTACATGCTTAAAGTCTAAGCCCCTTAAACAAACGAGCTTGAGCGTTCATTAAACCAAAACAATTCACATCATTCCACTGTTTGGGATACGTTTTTCTCAGCCAATCATTATTAGTGTCCTCGCAGTCAGTGTCCGATATAATCACATTCAATGGGTTTTGTTTGACAAACCCTTCAAATATCGCTTGTTTTATATACTGAAAGCCATTGTCCGTAACGTATAGACTGACGGGTCTATTGATACCACTGAAAGTAGTGGCCACTATATAATCACATTCAATGGGTTTTGTTTGACAAACCCTTCAAATATCGCTTGTTTTATATACTGAAAGCCATTGTCCGTAACGTATAGACTGACGGGTCTATTGATACCACTGAAAGTAGTGGCCACGAGTGCATTGTATGACAAGTGATCGGCAATTAAGCGGATTTCCAGGGGATCTTTAGAGGCGACTGAACTTATGGGAAACGCTGTATACTGTATCTCCTCGATCGCCGCATTGTCTTTAATTTCAAGGGTTTTTAGCTTAGGTAAATTTATAAACGCATTATGGCCAATTCTTTTCAGCGCCTTATTTTGCTCAATATAAATGTGCATGAGTTCGTTCATAGATTTTATACCACTTGCCGGTATCATGGTCAAATTAGTTTTAATTAGTCGCAAGTTAGCTAAATTGGGTAAACTTTGAATGGCCGTGAATAGGTCACCACCCGTGACAACAGCCTCGTTTACGGGTGTGTTAACAATATCTAAACGTTTGACCCTGTACGCTCCACCGTTAAAAGCAGCTGGGTGAATTTTTTTCAAACTTTGGGCATCTTCAATGATTATAGCGTCAAATACAATGTCGGCGAACACATTGGCCGGAAGTTCAGTGATTTTCCAGTTTTTCAATACAAACCGTACGAATGTTTTCTCCTCGGCTTTCAGTGATGTTTGAAGGCTTTTAAACAAAACCACTAAATCGAGTGCATTTCCGCTGTCGCATTCAATCGCGCATTTTATGTTAGCAACCTCAACAAACTTGCATGGTGCTTTTATTAATGTAGCATCCGGGCAGATTTTGTCCGCCGTAACCATGCCCAATACGGCCGCAACCGCCAATAGATTTACTGTTAATGTAAAATATTTATTAAAATTTCAGCATTATAAATTTCTGGTTAATTTTTAAATACTTACAAATTTTATTCATATTTGCAAATTATTGTATTTTAACTTTACTGTTAAAATACTAAAATATTATTTGTAATTCTATTTGTATTATATTATTAATTAATTTAACTCGATATTTATACTTTATTTTCATTGCCAAATGGATTACATTTATCTAATCTAAACACGTAGGAAGTATAGCGTGACCAACCGTCCTTTATTACAAAGGACAGTCCTATACTAGAGCTGATCGGTTAGTGTCCTATGTAGGGGTTAAATAGGACTATTGAATGTCCTATTTTAATTATTAATAAAAGTTAAAACAATTTTAACCCAATTTAGCTTAATTTTTAAAAATGTTAATAATAATTTTCAATATATTTTACAA